ATCTGCAGGAACAGTTCAGATTTCTGTTTCTGAACACTTTCAGATGAGATTGGCTGAACTGTGTTTCTCTGCTGTTGTTTTTTGTATGAGAATGAACTGAAATGACTCTTTCTTAGATTTTCTACACATATATCTACAAAAAACACATCCACGTCACTTTTGAATGTATTTAGTTTCCGCTCTGCTTTCATTTAGAACTCGTTTTAAACACACATTCTGTTTTCAGTTCTCTCTCATGAAGCCAGCCGTGTGTTTACACCTCAGAGTTTGATCGGAGAAAGGCCCGAACTGGAACTTTTGATATCTGTGTATTTTGGATATGAGGACTCGAGCTTAGATTAAAAGAAGTTAGAAACACATGATAGGTCAAATAAAGCTCAAATCTAAGGTATTTTTACAGAAAAGGTTAGTTTATTAAATTGTAATCATTGTAATTATTTAGATCAGGTAACTGTTAAGCATACAGTATATTTATTGCAGAGTGTAGTTGGTGTGTTTTCACCTGAGGCAGCTTCTTTTTTTTAAAATAGATTTTTAATTAATAACCTGAGTGTGAATACTCTGCAGGAAAAAAGCTTTTAGGGTAATTACGCAAAACTAGATGCTTCTAAAACTTTTACGTGAAATGAGGAGCAGTCATTAAAAAGTATCGCTGTACTGCTGTCACGCTTATTTTTTTAAAGGCAGCCAGAACGTATCAGACTTCCAGTTTAAATCCAGGCGTTTCTGGTCCACCAGGCCTGAAACAGAGACCCACATCAGCGTGAAGAAAAGCGCACGTGTTAAAGCGCTCTGAGTTTGCGGCGTCTGTTATTTGTTGATTTTAACTCAAGATTGTAAATACACTGTGAGGTCATGGCGGTGTCTCGTGACTCAAACTGAGGGCTAATCGTCATTATGTACCAAGTTTACAGCTTTGCACTCAAATTCACTGAGAACGCTCGTCGTTTTCACACCAACCGAACCTCTTCACTCTGAATGTTCACAGCCCTTCGTGTTCGTCCTGACACCACAGGAACTCTCGTATTTTCTAACACGTCCAACTTTAAAACCCAGCGTTTGTGCTGTAGGTGGCGACGGAGATGTCCACACACTTTACTGAAGTAAAAGCACTAATGGTTAAAAAAAAAGACTCCGTCGTGACTAAATGTTTTGTTGTGTAAGAGTAGCAAGTAGGGTTTCGCAATTAATATGTTTGTGAATTGACTAACTCTGTTAGAGCTGTGAGAAAATACAGTACGAGTGCTCAGGGTTCAGAAAGTTGTAAAGCTTCATCCATGTGCTCCAAACATGTTTTATCTAAAGCACATGAGCGTTTGTTTCTGCGTTGCTTCAACCTGAATGTTCTCATTGTCGGTCAGCGTGAACAGACAACAGCAGCTATCAAATATAACACGAGGCATAATGTGATGTTGTTATAACTGAGGACCCTCAGAAACCGAGTGATTGTAAACACAGCTGTTAAAGACCTCAGAGTGAGAGTGGGCAAACATACCTGTAGAGCTGCTGTGGATGCAAAGGTCACCTTTGGTTATTTATCTTCATAACGCATTTTAAACGTATGAATGTCGAGACAATCACTACAACTTATTTGAGGTGATTTGAAAGGGAAAAAAACTAAATATGTAACACTTCAGATAAGCGGTCAGACAGAGTGGACGTAGGTGGAGAAAATGTTGCTTTGTCTGGTTTACCAGCAACAGATGAGAAGAAATGTGTATCATATGTCTGAGTATTTAATGCTGTCGACATATTTGTATTAAAAACATGCACAGGTTATATTTTCATTCACTTTAATGCATTGCTGTGAATAAATTATTTGAATAAAACCTGATTTGAAGAGTTGATCTTTGTGCCTTCGTGGTTTGTTCACGTCTTGTAATTTCACCTGCATTTCTCCAGGTCGCTGAAAACGGTGCTTATCCCATTTGTTTTACAACTTAATATTCGCTGAGTAAAATATCACTGATGTCTGGATCCTTTCTAATATTTAGGTGCAGGGAAAACACTTTCTGACCCTTGACCTCTCGAAGCAGAAGAGCTCACCTTCAGCCATGAAGCCAGTGTTCCCACTTTACATTTAACCAAGCTGAATATGGACTTTTGCTTTGAATTAACACTCTGGGTTTATAGAGCTCTTATTAATGGAGCAACTGTGACCCAATCCACCCATTTTATTTCCAGCTGCTGAAACATCTGTGTACTGGGATAAAAACA